CTATAGATGTTTGCCCGTAGAAATTTTGTCTGAAACTGGCTTGTCGCATTGCCCCCTTATGAAAATAGGTTGCTGTTGTACATTAATCCTCGATGTGCCCTTCTTAGTTGAGTTGATAAATGGCACAATTGACTCGCCGGCTTACTACAGTGTTTCTAACCGTTTCTCTGTGAGTCTTATTTTAATAAAACACAGCTATTGCTGCTATAATCATAAGCTTTTCAACCTATTTAAGTTCCTTTACGCGTAATACGCTCGGTTTGCTTATGTCGTATCTAAATTAAATTCTAGTCTTGATCTCTTCGCATAATTCGACAATCGAACTGAAAATCGGTTGCCAAACTGTTTGCATGTTTACAATGGCTTAGGTGTTCACTACTAAATCACATTTGTGCCGGAGTTTGCCTTTCTGGTTTTCTTTCCTCTTGTGTACATGAATTTTGTTCTTGTTATGTTTTCTTCATTTATAATAATTTACTCATAATAATTAGCAGAAGATTTATTTCTACAAGGCAGTCGAATTCGGCCGTTAAGTAATTTTACATGAATTTCACGTGGAAATAAATAAGTAAATAAATAAATAGGGAATAAATAAATAAATATGCAGATATGAAATTGTAAATGTAGGGAGTTCCTACAATTTATTATCTTTAAAATATTTTATCTGCCGTTCGCCGCCAACTGAGAAGAAAAGCATTAATTTCGTCGTTCCGTTTGTGGTACACAAAAATACGCGCCTGAGCCATGAAAAGCGGTTTGGCCCCATCCAGCCATATAAGGTTAATGAGCAAAATCGAACAAAAAACTAACAAAATTGCTATCGTTTGACGCTGGAAGCAACTTGACATTGTTATAGTAACTAAAAAATAAACTGTGCGAGATTACTATAAACCACTCAATGCTATACAATTTTTCAAAACTCAACTACGGCTTTTTTAATAAATAAAAGATTCTAATTTATGTTATTAATAAAGGAACTTGAGGTTGGTTATGGATATATTTTTATTTTGAAGTGTCCTTTATAAGAACCCGTTTGAAGTTTTAGGAAAGTTTATTGATGACCTGTTAGCATTAAAGTACGTAAAAGAAATTCGACTATTTTTCATGTTCGTCGTATTTTTCATGAACGTCCTGGAATTGCTAACACAAAAAAAATTAATTCGGCAAATAAGAAAATTATGTTCGGTTGGGGCCGAATCTTGTATATCCCTCGCCATTACAATCTTTAGCGCCTTATGCTTTTATTTGCTGTCATAAAAGAAAAGAATGGGATGACATTAAAAGAGAAATGACTATAGCACCATAATTTATATAGAATTAAGACACTTAGCTTTTCGCATTCCGCTCTCCAAGACCTTTTATTTGATACTTATATAACAGGTATAATTGAGAAAACTTAGCCACCAGGCCGTGGTGTCCACCATGTTTATTTTAGAATTAAAGCATTTTAGGAAGATAATATATCTCAACTTGAGAAATTTGCGAAATAGCTTTAAATTTTCTGTCTTGCTTAATGTATGATTAATCAGCGTAAAGCCTCAAAAAAGTGGAAAAACGACAATTTAATCACTCGTAAAATTTAATTCATTTTCATTTACGTTTTCATTAAATTGACTTCGCGTTATACGAACTTCTGTTAGGAAAATTCCAATTCCTTATTTGCTTTAGTGGTGGACCGTTGCTTTAATTTTTTATAAATTTTAATGAGGAGTAGAAATATTATCTCTATGAATATTCATTTTAATTATCTGAAAGTAAGCTTCAGAAACATTATACGTGAGTTCCCAAATTAAATTATGCACGTTTTTCAAACACATATATCTGCCGCCATAATGCATGTTTTCTACCAAATTAAGATTGAAAATGAACGAGAAAAATTCGTATCTATATACATAAATTTCGAATAAGAAGAATGAAAATTATTGAGTTAACGTAACGTGAAGTACCGTTTCGAAAAAATTCTGCTTTGTGAAAAAAGTCCTCAAATTTTCAAGTACTCTAATCACTACTACGGAAAATCAAATTTTTACGACCTTCAACCGCCCACATTGAGCTGAGTCGTTCGTGAGTACTTAAGAAATAATTTCAAAGAACACTCAAAGAGTCTCAAAATCTTTTCGCATATTTTTCATATAGAATAGAATAGAATAGAAACCTTATCTTACTTGTCTGAAAATGGGACTGAAAATCGCCTAACTTGCGACTTTAAAGTCGCCTGAAAGTCCATCTTATAATCGACAAATTTTAAATTATCCAAAAAATCTTTAAAGCTCACTGAAGTTTTACTTTATTTACAATTATTGCATCATTTTTATTATTTCGCTCACCGTCTAAAAAATTGTGAACACAGCATTTGCAACAAAAGACATCGGAAAGCAAAACTGAGAAGACTTTTTCTACGTACTGCAAACAGTTAACACAATATATCCATTTCATCATTGGTTTTCTATATGTATTGTTATAAAATTCGCTTTTCTAAAATACAGTCCGTATCACTGGACCATGGATATTTTGTTCAAGAGAAATACACTTCAAAGTTCTTTTATTCACAATTATATTCCTTAAAATGTACGATTATTCACAATTTATTTTTGGCAATACTTTCGATTGTTCAACTCAAAATTCTTTTTCTACTAACTCACCCTTCCACAAATCTTCTATTTATATACATTTTTACCATGATATTACTAGTATCTAATTTTATAGTTTCACTTTTAATTCGTTAACCTGCTTTTCTGATACTCAGCTTCCTCGGCCGGCACCTGCATAATGCGCTTGCGGAAGTGCGCTTGGTTTTTTCCTGCCTGTTTTTCCACTAATCGTTTTCATCGGCCGGCAACTGCTTTTTTAGAGAATTCATTATTTAATTAGCTGGAATGAACTGGATTTGGGATTTCCGTAACACTACCCTCCACTTAATCTTGTTCGTCCAGAACAACGTTGTTTCGATAGGCGGTCAGTTGGTCCAGGTGTACCACTTTGAATTTAGTTCTGCCTCCGGGATGTTTTCGTATTCATTAGACCACATCATTTATCCTTGTGATGATTTTGTACGGACCTTCCTAGTTACATCACAGTTTCGGTGAAATACCTTTTTTTCGTGAAGGATTGTAAAGTAACACTAAATCCCCTTCCTTAAATCCATGAATGCTACGCCCCAAATCGTATCCTGCTTTCATCCTGTCACTTACGATTTGCGTTCTATTTCGAACCTGTCGGTGCTTGCAATAAATTTAGGGCTACATCGGCTCTTTCTTTTTAGTCTAGTTGCTTTAATGAAGATAATAACTTTATTAACAGTATACTTTTTTTACTTTTTTTGCCACTTTTTCGTATTTCTTTACATTATTTTAACACAGATTGGGCGTTCTTTTAACAAGATTGACCGTTTTTTAACATAAACTTGCAGTAACAGAGATCTGCCGTTTTTTTATATAACATCACACATATTTAATATCTTTTACTTTTTTCACTTGCTTGACGAAAACTCGTGATATGTTAGACACTTGCTTGACACTTACAAAAAAAAAGACAGATAATGGTTAGGACAAAGTAATTTTTCTGAGTAATGAAAGAAGTGAAAAAATGAAACTTTCACAGAAACTTATTCAAAATGATCAAAAGTTTCTAATATCAAATCAATCCTCAATCAAACCTTAATCAATGCTTAAGCAAAATTTCGTGCATTTTATGTTAATAATTCCTTGGTAGCAAGGGATTTCTTGCGAACATTTACTACTTGATATTTTTAATGCTTACCGTACCATAAACAATTAATATTGGTATTAATATTAGTATTATAGTAACGTCGTCTACCACCAACTTTGGAGTTTAGCAAATAATGTTTGTTTGCCGCGTTCTTTTTACAGCAATCACCGAAGAATGCGGCTTATTTTGCTAAGCTTATTTTTTAGTTTGTAATACCTAGAAATATTGATCAAGATTTTTGAGTAGATTTTGTCACTTATGTCTTTCTATGGAAAAAGAATACATTGATTTGTATGGACCGACTGATCGCTAACGAAACTTTTTAAACTGTAAGTACAATCACTTACAATTACCGTGAATCTAAAGAATCATTTGATGCTCGTAAAAGGTTTTTAAGTTACAAGCTACAACATACTTTGTCGCTAGCATAAAAGTGTTTTTTTAACACGAATTTTTTGTGCCACTATATTACAATGTGTGCTTAACTTAATTCTATACCATTGTAGCGCGTTTTAAGAATTTATGATCCTCCTTCACAAAACATACAGGTTTTATGGAAATTAAAATGGGCTGAGTTTAATTCAATTTATTTCAGCGGAGTGCTTTCATCGGAACTGAACCATTTGAAGACAGCTAAGATAGGCTACAGAGAATATACGAATACCTGACAATAGACGGTTCTTTTTTTAGTTTTGTAGACACTTACTACAGCAGCTTGAGAGGACCTTTCTGTAACTAAGATTGCACGAGAATTTGACAAATATGTTTGCTGTAATCAAATTTACGTACTGTTCACTCAATTCGTTGTCAGTTTCACTCCAGGTTGCTTTTCTGAGAAAAAATTTTATTTGCTTAAAAGTTTTCACGATTTTTTTGAATTCCACTCAATTATTTTACAAAAAAAATATTTATTTTTTTTTTAAATAAATTTTAAACGTCATTTCATGGTAAACGCTCACGGAAGTATTAAAGGTAAACAAATTGTTAAGTTTTCTCTTATTTATGTGCATACAAAGAAAGGAAGAAAACGTAGGTTATAGCAAATCATAAAACTCGGTTTGCGCCGAATGTAATGAAAACACAATTTCTTTCTTATATTTTTTTGCTTAATATTTAAAGCTTGTCTACGCATATGAAAAGGATTATTATTCGGAAAAGTCTATTATAGCATTCATTTGAATATAATAGATTAATAAATTAGATTACTAAATTTTTTAAGAGGTTTGATACTAATGCCGGCTTATATTTAATTATTATTAAAAAAAATAGTATATGTTTTTTGTATTTTCCAGCAAAAATCTTAATATTTTATGTAATATTTTATGCGGCATTAACTGGTTTCTTTGCTGCCATGCTAGCTGTATTCTACCAAACTTTGGAAGTAAATAAACCTAAATGGACGTTAGATACCGGCTTAATTGGCACAAATCCAGGTAATTAAATAAATTAATATATATAAACTTATGCTTACATTACTTAATTAATTGTTAATTAATTATTAATAAATGCTATTAATTGATTAGTTATCCAGACCTTTGATGTTCTCTACAAGTTTGCCCCTCGTTTTCTCAATGGCTTTTTGTTTATTTTAATTAAATTAAGTGAAAATTATTATGCCAAGTAACTCTTAAGGTTACTTTTAGCAATAAGCATTTTACATCCAATAACATACCCATTGGAAAAGTCGCAGATACTTTTTATTCATTTCTATTAAATTTCTCGTTTATATGCTATTAAGATTTATTTTGAATCAATTCTGTTATTGTACTTCTCACTCGAGTAAAAGGAAATTTTATTAACTAATTGATTTCATTTTTATATTTACTTATAAGAGTCAACGATAATTTATTATGAAAAGCAAAATTCAAATCCATCTCTGTGCTATTTTGACGTATGTCATTTTTCTTTGTAAACCATCCTTCGAACCGCACATTAGTTTTGTAGCTATTTATTTGCACTAAAACTAGTTACAATTTCTATACTTGCCAGCGAACAAACGATAAGATTACATTAAATTTTGTTTGCCTTTTCCATGCATTTCTTAGATACGCACACGAAAAAAATAGGCATACTCTACCAAATTAGTATTATGTGTTCTATCTGACTGAATGTCTTCAAAAAGCTCGTATTCGCACAAATCATGCAAGTTTACTCAACGCGCGGCAGGTCGAGTTTGCGATTGCTACAAACCATTTAGTTTAAAAACAACAATCTTAAAGATATTGATCCAAGGTTTGTCATAAAATTTTATCAAAATCTCAAAGAAAGAAATGCATTGCAAATTTTGCATATTGGCATGCTGTATTGATTGTTACCGCATGAAGCGGATGTGTTTCCTGCTTGTTATACCGAACATAAAGCGTACATTAAATTGACGATTCTTTAGATAAAAATTACTGCGATCTTACAAAAATAATAAGAATGAGTTTTATTCGAATAACGCGGTGTGCTCTTTTACAACTTTTTCTCTCCGAGCCGCGCTATTAAGAACGAAAAATATTTTTTTTCGCGTATACTTCTTATATTATTTTGTATACCTCTTAAGCCGGAATAAATGTGTGTTGAAATCATGATTCAAGGCTTTGTATAGGTGAAAAAGTTTGTTCTCATGTATTTCAATCTCTTTCTTCTTACTAAATTGTAAGGGATAATTTAAAGGAGAAATTTCATGGTTGGAGAGAGTAGGAATTTTTGGACTTCGCAGTGAATTACGTCTTTACTTTCCTTCAAAGTAGAGTATTTTCTGGCTCCACAATATAAATTATTTATTTATTAGCTGTCTATCCACCGCGCTACTAACTATTAACTAAAGTATTGTATCCAATCAACTAAACTGCTAAGTCCGTCATTCTTCTGTAAAATATTATAGTCTTTCGCATGTTTGTAAAATGTATTAACCCTTGGCCATTTCATCATTCTATCGCAATATATAACCCTACAGATGTTTTTGAACTGTTACCCACGGACGTAATTCATTTTCATTACATTTTCATTAAATTATTTATTGTACTGTACACCACTTGTGGTACAGGGCATATTAGTTAGTGCGGCCATATGTAACACGCAGAAGGGCTTAAGATAAGCCCACCTTTATTAAATCGATCGATTCAGAATCATAATATGAATTGATTTAAGCTCGTCTGTCCGTCTGTCCGTCTGATATCTGTCCATGTTTTATGGGCACACAAATTGTATTCAAGCTACAGTTCGAAATTTTTTAGATATTTTGATTAAATTTGGTTCGGATCGGTTCAATTCTTCGATCACTCTACTTATAACATCTTATTCTGAAAAGCCGTTATGTGGAAAAAAATTATAATATTCAAAATTTCCCGGCAAAAGTGGTTAACGTAATTCATACGGCAAAATAGTACAAATTTCACTGCTTCAGGATGAAAATTGAATCATAATAATAATTTAATATAAATAAATTAACTGTACTAAATTTAGACCATCTCGGCCTGTTTTTTGGAATCTACCGTAATAACGATTTTCATTGATCCTTTGTAGAGCAGAAAACCCTAAGTTTTAATATATGGTGATCGAAATTGACCCATAATATTATAGTAATTTCATGCAAAAAGTAACTCTACAAATTTTGGACAATCTACGCTTATTTTTGGATCCTGTCCTATGTAAGGATTAAACTTATACCACATCAGGTTGCGTTTTGGACCCGCTCCCTCATAAATACGGACATGAAATATATGCCTTTATACAGAAACAACATATAATTTTTGTGTTCTATAATAAAAATAAGAATTGTTTTAGGCAATGTGGCGTAGGGTACGCAATGTTGTTACTTGTTTTAAATTTAGGGTTTTTAATTGTTCAAGGCATGCATGCATAAATATGAGCTTCCTTGCGTGGGTTATCAATCACGAGTAGAAATGTTTTCTTTGCTATGTGCACTTTTTGTTCTGCCAGATCTTGATTTATCATACTCAGCACCCCTCTTGAATCACTTTAACGCCTTGTACTTGCGTTTATATACCAATGGTAAAAATGGTCCATCATTCTAGTAATTTGTTCTCCGGATGGGTATATCAATATGCATACACCTTATTTCCATTTGCGGCTATTCAATCGTCAGGACTAAGAGAGCCATCTGCGCGCTTTTGCATCAGAAGAGAAATAAGGAGAAAAATGTGGGTCTGGCTTGCTTTCTTCTGTATTGCATTTTCAAAAATTAGCGTTGCCGGCCGATTGAATTCTTATTCGCAGTTCATGTCACAAAACTTAACATCCCTAATCACAGTGTTCACTCGTCCAAGATTTTTGCATGTCCGAAGTAGTAAACATGACCTTTAGAAAAAATTAATTGTGATTAAAAAGACGCTTATTGTTAATGTTTCATCTTACGGTAAATATTCCATAATTAAGAGAACATTAGACAAGTTAGTTAGACAATTTTGCAGATAAGATGAATCACACCTATGTCTCCTATGCCAGAATTCATGGTCTTGTATGCTAATATTTGGAAAAAAGCAGAATCCAAAAGTAACTATTTAACCTCTATGCTATTTACCAATTGTTTCGAGTGTACTTAACCATCTCACTAGTCCTAGTTCCACATTCTTCTTCTTAACCCTGTTTTACATTTTCCTATTCGAATTGAAACTTGCGGACTAAAGTTGATTTTTTTTCAACGATTTTCCAATTTGTCTTTTAAATTATTTTTGTCAGTTAAAATCATGTCTTCTTCAAACAAACGATTTCTACATTAAATCCAAGTTTAATCTTACGTACAGAGATTTTCTGCATATAAAGTTTTTCATTTGCCATTTCCCGAGAGCTAATAGTTGAGATAGATCCAACCTTTAATATACCTATCAAATCAAAATCACTTTCTGCATCGATCTAAACATGTCTGCCCACAGGATCATCTGTGTTTTTTCTTGCGTCCAAGGTACAGGAAACAATTTTTGAGATAATGCGACGATCGGATTACTTTTTCAACCACTCTCCATCTAAAAACTTATTTTAAAATGTCGTTATATGAATAACTATATTAAGCGAACTGGTGTCGGTTGTTTAATAGGGGAACATGCATCCCCTATAGTGTTTATTTTTGTTGTTTTTATTGTTGATGTTTTAAGTTGATCATTTCAGTTAATATTTCTTTATTCATTTTAAATTCCTTTCTTTAACAACCAGTTAAGTAGCATATTTTTATTATGTTTTTCCAGGTCTTGGTTTTCGACCAATGCCACCAGAAGCAAACGTTGAAAGTACCTTAATTTGGTATGAAGCATCAAGACGCGATAACTTTCAATATTGGGTCGACGAGACTAAAAAGTTTTTAAAATGTAAGCAATAAATTTAATAGAAATATTTTTCAATTTACTCATTATTTATCTTTTTCGCTATAAATAAATATTCGAATTTGAATTATTTACACATACATACAAAAAAATAGCGTACGATAATCTACCGAGAAAGAATCAAGTGAATTGTTCATTTGAACAGCCACCACCCGATGGGAAAGTCTGTTCTTTTGAAATCACACAATTTTCACCCTGCACCGAGCAAAATGATTTCGGTTATAATTTGCCTCGACCTTGTATATTCCTCAAATTAAACAAGGTATGTTTTTAAATTAAAATGAACGATATTAATAATAAAAAAGTGTATGTAACCCAAAAAAATTTGAATTATGTAAACTTCTTCTTGAAGATCTACAATTGGGTGCCTGAAATTTACAACGATTCAAAAAATTTACCAGAAGAAATGCCCGAAGAGTTGAAGCAGCATATTAAAGAGAAACAAAGCTTGCGGCCAAATGAGGTAAAGTTGAAAGATTAATTAGGAATTATGTAATGTTTTTATAATTTCTGTTTTTTTTTTCTTTATTTATTTTTTTACATCTTCTCGCTTTTCTCGTTTGATAGACCAATGTTGTCTGGATTAGTTGTGAAGGCGAAAATCCCGCTGACGTTGAGAATATTAAAGCACGTGATTATTATCCCCGCATGGGTTTCCCTTATTATTATTTTCCATTCAAAAATATTGACGGTTATACGCCACCAATTATTGCTGTGCAGTTTACCGTTGAAAGTAAGTAAAGATCTCTTTTGTTTTTTTATTTATTTTAATTATAAAGAAATAAACGGCTGTTTAAAGATTTTTTTGCCGAGAATTTACTGCAACCACTTACGTTAATTGCTTTAGCGAGGAGGTTAAAGAGGGACACAGTCACCATGTGAACCTTTCAAGATTTATACAGTTTTCATAAAAAAGGAAGCTGGGCTCGCTTTGAGACAAACCTTCTCTTCTGATACCCATAACCAAGATATTAGAACAAATCAGTTTTCTCTCGTCCTATAAAAGAGATAGGAAATTCACTAGACATGTTTCATCCTGCAGTTGACTCAATAATTTAAAGTCTGCATGTTCAAAATTCGGCATATACCCTTTTTTTTTTTTATGATATGACCGATTACTCAAGAAATATACCCTAGTCGTGTAACACGGGTATGGTGGGAAAGAATTGCAGAGACAAAAAGAGATAGGGAAATTGTAGCGGTCCTGTGTGTATGTATCCAATCGGGAAATATTATGGTTTTACCGACCGGTTTTATTACTGTTACGGCGAAAGCAAACTCTGCCGCACTGAGATTTGACCCACTGATAATAGCCGTAGAAGTTAAATTGATAACTATTTTAATTACAGTTTCAATTTTTTCCAAGAATCAGTTCATGTAAATGATGAAAGAATAAGAATAGAAGGGAATTAGGGATAACGAACAAAAATAAATGATTTCCTTTTCTTAAGGGGATGAATGGCAGATGCTTACAAAGTTTTCAATGTTCTTTATATTTACCAAACGGGCCAGTAAATTAAGCCGACCTTGAGGTTTCGACGGCAAAAACTAAAAATGAATAAATAAGTGTTCTTATGGGAGTAACTTCCTTCTGAACTTAGTGCAACTCGGTCAAGTGAACACTTTGCATAGTAAGATAAAAAGAACTTAGTGGACTATAAGATACGAAATGTTACAAAGAACCTGACAAGCAAGAGCATTAACTGCCATAATTAAGCAAAACATTTCAAGTGTAAAAATAAATTCAGCAAAGAGAAACTTTAGGAGATGAATCTGCCTATCCTTTAGAACAAAATGTGTAAAGAAATTTTTACGTAAGATGCAGTAAATTCTAAGAAGCAACTGGTAATCAATTATTTGATTTCATTGCATACACACCTATCTGTCCCTTGTACATAACCATACACCAGTACTTGTTGGTGAACGGACATTACTATATGTTCATTTACCCGTAAAAGTAAAAAAAGAAGAAGAAACTAATGTTTTCTCAAGCGTAATCTGTGGTTAATGCAATACTAACCGCAGGCGGTCGGCGAATTAAAAGCGACAAATATTTGTCTGCTTTATAAAAAAAAAAAAAATTATAGTATTTGTTTGGTATTCCATGCCAAAGGTAAGCCGCACATACGTGAACATACGAGAGTCCAATAAAGAAGAATTTTGATAAAATTTTACCGCAATAATTTCTGCGGAAGGAGCTGTTTTTTTCTTATTCATATAATGAAATTATAGTCAGTTGCCTGCTACGAGCGCAATTATGAACTGGGCATGGCTATATTTAAATACAACATTGAACCTCGATTGAAGGTACACATGCCAAGTACTGCTTCTCTCAAACTGTTGCGGCGTAAGGCTTTCGAAAACTTACGGCAAATTGGTGCATATGATATCGACTCAAAACCCAGAAGGCGAGCGTTTCGGAACGCTATCAAGGAAAGTCTAATTCAAGAAATCTTCAATGGTCATTCATTTTCTTAATTTATAAATTAAAACGTTTTCCAACAACTAGTTGGAATTAACTGTTTGGCAAAACAAATCTTTATATGGGACGTAGTCGAAAGATTGGTCCGATCTGAATCACCGAACCGTTTATGCTTGCGGCAAAACACCGCAGAGAAATGAACAGGCAAGGTTAGATCGATTCAGAAAGTGGTTCGGATCGATCGACATTATAAAATGTGGATCTATCTCAAGTCTTGCTGCTTGTTACGTACATCCGCACAAACGTGCAAAAATGAAACTGTTCACATGCATTGAAAATATTAAGAACACGTAATAACACGATCCAATATTTACAAATGATACGAACAATTTAACCGTGATAAAGGAGCAGTTGAAATGTATTTGTTCTCTCCGTATATAGGTTTTATATTTCGATTTTTTTGATTTTCTAAGATTAATTTTTATATAAACGTCTACTACGGTCATAGCAACGAAACACAAATTTTTCATTTGTTAAAAAGAACACAAAGGATTCCAAAGGAGCCAACAGAAACGATGTTATTTAACTTGGTTCCGTGTCAGCATAGAAAATCTCAATCGATATTTCGGGACCTTTCATATCATGTTCAAATTTTGCACACATCTTTTCGAGGACAATACAATGTTTTACAGTCGGTTTTTCTGTGCAATGGTAACGCGCGCATTAAAGTGTGTCGGAAGGGATATTTTCAATCGATGTTTCGAGCGCATTCGTGCCTGATCGTGTCGTACTTTTGGGTACGCTTTTGTATCCAATGACGATGTAATGTAACATTGTCAATCTTAGTATCCGAAATCGCATACGCCACTTTTTCTTAACTATTGCTTTATTATGGGTATCAAATGAAAGCATTTAAAGAGAACACTGCGAATTGCAATAAACAATCAAATCAAAAGTAAATTATATAAAAATCTGTTTTTTAAATCAAGCCTTCAGTTAAATGTTCTAAAAGGTAGGACATAAATTTTATGCCAGTGAATTCTACATATTTATACAAAAAATTGAATCGCTGTGTGGCCATCTGCCTGTTGATGAAAATTCAGTAAAACAGGTATGTGTTGACTTTAAGCATAAATTCCATTGACAATCGATCAAATCGAACAGTTTTTATGACGCTTATATGACGGCTTATTTTGAGAAAGATTTTATATATTTTATTAATTTTTTTTATTTATTTATCTTATTTATTTTATTTTACCAATTTATACATGAAATTCAACTAAAGAAAATTACAGTCGAATTCAGTGCATCTTAATAGAAAATCTTATACCAATTGTTTTAAAACTAGTATACAATAAAAAGGAAGAAAAAAAGAAGAATAATAATAACAAACTAAGTTTAAAAATAATATAAAAAGTTAAAAATAGTAATTCATGTATAAATAAATAAATAAAAAGGGAGAAAAAAAAGAAGAAAGAAAAAAAGCATGTACATAACTAGCATAGAGCCACACCCACAATCAGTACAGGACCAAATTGCAAATGAACCATCAGGCCATCGCAAAGATGCAAAAGTTTGGCAACCGATAACAATAAACAACAATTAATTTTCGAATCATAATGACTTATTAAGGTTACAGGTTAATTTAAGTACGACATAGGTAAATCGCGCGTATTAATCAATGTTGCTTTAATGGACATTAAAGAGTCCGATCATGAGAATAAGTGATAGACGTCATTTAGGTTTCTGCAAACAACTCTGAGCGGATGAAACAGCTCATAATTGTATTTACGTTGACTAAGCTCAATCAAGACACAGCGCCTAGAGAAGGTTAGGGTCATTAAAGCTTATCTCACCAAGTAATGCGGGCAAGTCAATAGCACCATTTATTACTTCGTTTTAAAAGGAAACCCCAAGAACAAATCTACGTTTCTCAAGTGATGGTAAGAATAGTAGAAGCAACCTATTTTTACAGGAAGAAAGGCAATCGTGTCCCAACCCAAATTCCTAAGGGCAAATAGCAAGAATTGCTTTCGAACAGATACAATTGAATCCACATAGCACCTATATGAAGGAGACCACACAACAGAGGCTTACTCAAGTATAGGTCTAACCAAACAAATGTAATTTGTCGTAATATAAGGATCATCAAGCTCTTTGGACCACCTCTTCTTGATTTTAACCAAGCGCGGACCTAGCTTTGTTTAACGAGAGCTTAATATGCAAGTTAAAACGTAATCTATGGTCACACAAAACGCCTAAATGTGTGACCGAATCGAATGAATGACTTCCTTCTTGAGAATGAAAGCTTCTTACATTTATTAAGATTTAGTTTCAGAAGATTCAAAGAGCACAATGCAACCAAATTATTCAAGTCACTTCGAAGCTGATGTGATTGCAATTCTACGGAAATGGAAGAAAACAGTTTCACATCATCAGCATACATTAAGATCTCGCAGGATTTAATCCGCGAGGGCAAATTATTAATGTATTAATGATTAAATGAAATAGGTCCTAATGGATCCTAAGTGGCTGCTTTGACGTCACGAGCTAATGAACTTAAACAAAATCCTGAATGATCTAAGATAAGAGCTTAACCATTTCAATAAATAGAAAGGGAAGCCAGAGACTTGGAATTTAAAGAAATGTGAGTTAAGGTTAACCAAATCAAACGCTTTGCTAAAATCAGTGTATATAACATCAGTGCCACTAGAAAAAGGCTTGAAAACATGACAAGTAAACTCTAACAGATTGGTGACTGTAGATCTTCCTTTTCGAAAGCCATGTTGGAGAGGAGAAATATACGATTTGATCGCAAAGACCATATGCTCAGTCACAATTCGCTCCAGCAGTTTAGGCAACACACTCAACTTGGCAATGCCTATGTAGTTCTCTACAAGTTGTCTACTTCCACTTTTGTGAATAGGAATAACGAATCAAGTCTTCCAACACAAAGAGAAAGCACCTAATTTCAAGGACTTGTTAAAAGTCCTCAGCACAAGATTTAAGTACACATGATGGAATTCCATCAGGTCCAGGCGCACAACTATATTTTAGAGAGCTTAACCCTTTAAAATCGTCATTTTCAGAAATAATTAATTAAGAAATTGCAACGAAATTAGTTATCGGATATGAGAAATATTTAAGTGGTACATTGTTTTAAGTCTTCGTAACAAGATCTGAGAAAGATTGTGAGGGCACGAAATGCCTACAAGATTATTCTAATAACGATTTGGTTGATGTATAATTACCGAGCGTTCTTGAAAACTGAAAAAATAAAAATTTTTTTTTTTCAATAGCCTCTGTATATAAAAGAAAATCGTTTCTATGCTAAGAGTTAAGAATATATATATATAAATTTATGCACGATTATAGATTACGTGATTATTACTTAACAATTAATCTAACAATAAAACAAGAAGCTATTAATAATTATTATAATGTTTCATTAAGTTAGCATCAATCTACATAATGAAGTTTCATTACGTATATTTTCGAAGAGAATATTCAAGTTTGTAATAATTGAACACATTCCAGTTGGAACCTCCACTTTTTTGATGCATTATATGCAAAAAGTATGATAATATATTTTTCTCTAGGAAAAAGCTGGAAAAAGGAAAATAATTAATACATAACTATAAAGAGTGAGTTATTAAGCGCTGTTTACTCGAACTGCCACGTTGATCACCCCATATTAAAATTTCCGCTGTACTTCTAATCGTTGTTTATAAATTGAATAAATCGATTATATTTAGCAAGGCGTGGCGATGAATCGCCCACGCAGCCAAGGCCTACATATAGAATGAGTTAAACATTTTATATAAAAATATTATATGTTTAGTGTTTTGGAAAATACGCGAACTAAACTTATTTAATTTTACAAGTTAGCCTAAAAGTAGACCGCCATAACTTTTTTTTTACTATCAAATTAAGCAACGCAGTAGTGGAATAATCTGTTAAATGGCAAAGCAGTGGTAGAATAATTTGTTAAAAGGCAAAGCAGCAATGGAATATCCTGTCTATTACAAAACATTGAAATATCTAGACTTTTTTCCACCTGCACTTTTTGTCAGACGAAGAGTTTTATTAAATACAATATTTTCCATGTAATTCTGTTCATTTTTATATAGGTATGCATAATGCCGATACATTTTTATTTCATCAGTGAAGCCAGTTTCATTAATAGCAGTACTTTGCCTCCTTAATTCGTTTAAAAATGTTTTTATGTGTTTATTTAGTTTTATTATTATTCATTGCGATCTCTGAGTGCCTTCTAATAAGTGTTTCTTTGGATAGCGCACAGTTGCTTTCAGTAAACTGTAACACTTCGAATAAAAAACTGTGAAAAATTAGAGATCGATTCAATTAGTACGAGAAATTAGAGTCCGATTCAGTTAGCGTGAAGAATTTCCATTTAGACGATTACTCCTACTGTGCTATATGACATTAATTTGGATGGCTTTAAGTCGAGTGCCTCACCAAATCGACAGGAATTTCACAAAATTGATCAAAAGTATTCCAACACGCTATTAAACACCTCAAAAACTTTATTTTCTCATAGAAAAAAGCATCTTCACCGGCTTGCGTGTACTTTGCGTTGGGATGAACAATGGGTATAAATTCTATTGGCCACTTTGCATAACTTGTCGGACAATTCGTCACAGATTACGCATAATCTTACGTTTGCGTTGTGGTGATGTAGCTTCTTTAATTAGGGTTTCGGTGAAATCGGATACATATCCACACATCAAATATCGCTCATTCCGAGAAGAGCCTGTTCCATTGTATAGGAAAACGATTCACGAGAAAAAATTGACAAATTCGACCTATTTACCACTTCATTGCGTGTTATATTGAGCCATTTAAAGGAAGGTGAATTAAAGGCCATGCTGGTAGCATCCAAGTTATCACCAATTGCCGCGCTACTGCATTGCCCGATTCAATAAAGTTCAAAAAGGTTGCCAGCGGCAAAATGAATAATTAAAAAAAAAAAAAATTCAGTACAAAACCAACAGTTACAGCAATTCTTTCAGCTCTCTCAGCTTTATTTTACCCCTACATAAAGAATGCACAGCAAGGTCAGCAAAGTCAGCAGAGTCAATTTTATTTGAAGCCAATTTACTTGAATTTATTTCTCAGCAAATGCAAAAAAATTCAAATGTTTTTGGAATTTAAAATTGCTGGGAGTTAGTGCATCGCACAAAAACACCGGCCGAAATACGTGAAGGATATCAAAGGTTGGCTCAAACTGCAGAAGACCGTAAATTATTGCGAAGTAGCAATTTCCGAGGTAATGTTACAATCAGTGTGAATGCCACGGAGATATTTTCGCCATACGACTACAGTGAAATGCCGATTGTAGAAGTCTCCTCCTTGAGCATATCACAACCGATCGAAGCTCCTATTACAAGACGAGATACGGTAATAATGAGTAGCAATCTAGTATCAACAAATCCACATGGTATTAATGTGTAAGGACTTTACATTCCAAATGTTTGCAAACCATATGGTTGGTTAATATTGAGATGGAAGTCTTTACCACATCTCTTGGTTTGATTATCAAAAATTCAAGGTCTTTAACTCACTTTTTCTCCCGGAGTAAGTAGCGCATGCATATCTTAATGCTCCTGCGCTTTGTTGTTCTCATTTCAGAAACTTAGAATAGAAGTGAAAAAATGGAGTACATCAAGAATCGGCTTTCAAATATCTCTAGTGCGACAAACTTTTGAAACGGTTATTACACTTTGACTTTGGATTATTTTTCCACTTCTATAGAAGACATATGGAAATTTAGGTGTAATGAGCAAAGAAAAGCAAAAGCACTGTCCATTAATCACTGGCTCATTTTCAATACCGTCCCGCGTCCTTCTGATGAAAATTCCATATTTGATATTAATTAACAGTGTGCATAATGTATAGGGCCTCAGAAGCTTTCTTGTGTGTCTTACAAACGACTTGACAACAAAAGAACTTTCAATAATCTGTAATATCGGATGGGCGTCGTACATTTTTCCCATTTTAGATAGGTAATATACCTATCATCCATAAAATATACATCGAAATTTTTATTGTTGCGTATGTGTAGGTTATGAGTAACGACTAAAAATCAAATTCCTATTGCTTTTGAACACAGCGATGTTCTCAGTTTTCATTGTAGGCGACTTTTAACGGGCTTGGCTCCTTTATAATAGCAACTGCGAGCGAGCAAGTTTATGGCAAATGTGAAGGCGATGTGCCCATTTGTACGACCAAGAGATTCTCAGCGCGGATATCGATAATTTTTTTGAAAAGATAATTATAAGTTTTCTCATCCATTATCATTTCTGCTTGCTTCTTAACCTTTGAAAGCTCATGTTTTTTTCGCAACAACTAAACATCGGTCAAATTTCATGCTTTTCCGCACAAAATAAATACGCTTAGAAGTAAATAAAGCATACTTGATAAACAATAAAGCTGTACTTGATAAACAAGGACATCTGAATTGATGTAGTGAAACCTCTGTCGCGAAAGTTGAGAGAGGGGGCTGAAACTTCGCGTATACTACTGTGACCAACAAGTAACAAAACGAAGTTTTCTTCGGGCGAAATTACTGACAAGGAATATGATTTTAGAAATATGCGTCAAATTGCTCAGCAGAATAGGCACCCCTCTTTTTTTATCACCATAATGAATGTTCTCGCATCAATTTAGTTCTTCGGAACGTTTCCATCACAAATTCAATTCGTATTGTTCCGCGCATGCCTTCCTTTTGATTTCCTGCTATTTATCTAGACTTAAGAAACCTTTTTGATACATACTTGTAACTTTATTGAGCCCAAGAAGCACTTTTTTAGATGAAAGAAGCGAGTACACAAACACAGAAAAAATTCTTTATCATGTCAAACAGTAAATTTATCTTATCTGCCTTGCAATCGTTTACCTCAGGTAAAACTCATCCTCATATGTTAGAAATTAGATCTTTACTATAAATTCTGACATATTTCGTTATCATTTTTCATTGTACCTAGTCTTAGAAATATTTACGTGAAATGCCACTGCGAATAATATCGAATCTTCCACGCCACCACATATTAATAATTGCGCTTTGGTTTTGATGTCGCCATTTCTATTCATCATTTCATGGAAACTCTCTGTATAGGGTCTTCATGATCGCAGCGTTTTTGACATTTTCTACTTGATCAATTTGGCGGCTTACACCGCAATCTTCTCTTTTTTTACAGCTTGTCATGAGAACATACAAATGTTCACAACAAAAATGTATTTTTTCATATTCTTCTTTACTTTCGTAACAAATCCACCTCATTCTTAAGATATATACTTTTACTCCATCACATCTCACAATCGGAAATTCAACTTGGGTTATATCATGTATATCAAAATGATTACAGGTATGTGGTGCACGTGTCAAGAAATCAACGACGGATGATTTACTGAGTGAAGTAAAAATGGTTCAATGTGAACACGAAATTCTTTGTTTGAACTTTAATAAAGTTGGCGGATAGCTTGGTGTCTACATATATATACATATCATCTGTTGTTGATTTGCTGACTCGCGGAAGAAGGAGAAAACGTTATAAAAGGAGTTTCATTGGATAAATTTTTAAAAATAATTAATCGAAAGCTTAGTACAGGTATTTCGCGCATCTATCCATCTATCAAATAAGTGTACAAGTAGACAAGTAACAAAATGCTCTGTAACTTCTCTAAGTGTAGTTTTAAAACCAAAACTACTAAAACTACTTAAAAGCCGCCCCAAGGGTCCTATAACTTTGTTATCTCACTTTCCCAATCCCAAGGATCTGTTTCAATGAATAGGATTTCTTGAGGACCTAATAATCTCAACTCAGTAAAATATTGGTTAAACTTAAATTGCTGACTAACTGGAGGTTTTCGTTTCATTTCTTTTAAAGCCGGTGTTTTGATAAATATTGAATGCAAAGCCTGGGCTCGCAATATTCACCATGATCGCTCTGAGAGGAGAGGATCCGTCCACTTTGAGTTGATGGTTGATTAAGATATAGATACTCAGCAGCAGCAGCAACAACAACAGCAACAACAACAACAAAAGCAGAAGCCTAACCAACAGCAGCAACATCAGCTACGAAAGCAGAATGGATTACAAAATGCAACAACAACACATGCAGTAACAGTAGTAAAAGATGATGAACAAAATGAACAAGAAAAGTCAGCTAAAGAAAATTAACCGAAATTAAAAAAAAAACAAAATAAATGAATAAATGAAAATAATAAAATTAATAAATAAACAAAAGATAAAACTTTAAAGTGAAAAATTATACGAAAAAAGGAAAGTTTGCATTGTTCATAAAATTTAAAAAAAAAGAGGAAAACAAAAATTATGAAAAAAAAAATCTAGATAATAAAAGCAAACGCAAAAATAATGCAAAAGAGAAACAAATGGAAAAATACAGCAACAACCAAAGATGCAAAATAAACTTAAAGAAACACAATTAAAAGCAAAAACAGAAAAATAAGGTTAGAATAGAAGAAAGCAAAATTTTAGGTAAAAAATAAGCAACAATAGCAATAACAACAAACATGCTACAGAAATACATTTTGCGTCGAAAAAAAGGTTTTCTTTAGTTTTACAAAGTTTTTCTTTCTTAAATTTTTCCTTTTTTTTGAAATTAGGCAAAAAAGCTAAAAGGTTTTGTTTTCAAGAGAAAGATAATATCGAATAATAGCACAGCGAAAAACAATTAAAAAAATAATTAAATAAAAATTAAAAAATTATAATAAATAATTTAAAAGAAGTAAATAATAACAAGTAAGTAAAGTGTGTGCTTAATAATAATGAAAATGAAATGAAAAAAATAATATAAAAATAAAACTGTAAAGTTGGTCTACATGTTCTTATATATATAACAATTATAATAATAACAAAAGCGATAACAATAATGAAAGTGAATATAATAATGATAAATAATAACAATAATAAAGAAATAATAATATTGTAATAATAACAACAAGCTAACACTTTTAACACCCAATTTCTTTACACCCAGCCATTTATATACACACATACACACACTTTTAACATAAAAAAATAACCACCAACGGGAAAGGTCTATTAACACAAAAAGTCTCTATCTTTATTATTAATAATAAAACAATAATATAATAAAAAAACTACAATCACAACAACAAATGCTGTTTAGTAATAATTTATCAAAGTGAAATTAAAAATATATATTAAATAAACTTTTGGTTCACATTTGTTATAAATTTAAGCAAAATATTTAAAAAAATATTACATTAAAAAAAATAAATAAAAAAGACATAGATTCTTAAATAATTAAAAATCATTATTTAGGAAGATTCGTTAAGAAATCAGATACAGACAAGGCAAGCTAAGGAGTCTACATAGAAAAAAAGCAACACAAAAATGCATTACATTAAATATTAAATATAAATAAATAAATAAACGAAAACTATAAAAAAAAACTTCATCCTCTTTACTTACTAAATTAAAAACTAAAGAAAAACAAAGAAAAGACGAGTTGATAAGTAATTTAATGAAAAAATAGATAAATAAAAATTAAATGTATTAAGTACAGTAAACTAAATATACAAATAAACAGAATCACCTACACACACATGTGGGTAAGAGTAAAAAATAGACTAAAATGAAAAGAACGCAAAAGGAAACTCGAAAATAATAACTTAGTAAAATTTTGTTTGCCAGTAAAACTTAATTTTGGCCGCTTATGGTTTATGTTAATTAGAAACAGCTTAGCTTTTCAACTAATTTCTCTACTCAATAAGAAAGAAGGGTAATCCCAAGGAACTCTTTGATGTAGGGTTTACCTGTTTAACGAAAAATAAAAAATTTAAATAAAATTCCGAATAGTTTCTCTTCTTTCCGGCCATGTAAGTGATGCAAAAAATAAATAAAATGCGATCCTTTCCTTTTAATTGGCTCATATATCTATTAATTCAAACGGTTGCTTCTCTTCAGCTAACGTCTAGAAACCAAAAAATAAAATATTAGAGTAAAGGAATTAGCAATTAAGAAAGCGCCATTTATTTTTTTGGAACTGTTTCGAACTCAATGGAAATGACTTTGAGATCGTTTGTCATGCGATAGTTTGACGCCCTAATGCATTGCGGCGAAAATGTTCAATTCATGAACGGATAAATATATTCTGTTTAGTTAAAAGCTCAGGCCTATTTATGGCAAATGATTTCAAAGACTCAATTAAAGGAGACGAAGAATTTCGCGTTTTTCCTAATTGGTATTGTATAATGATGAGATGTTTTAGTTCAAAGAACATATTCCAATTGTATCTCAGTGTCGAGCCAAGTTGCTCAACCCAACAGGTTCGTAGACCAGATTATACATGTGGACATAGTTCAAGAGTTCTTCGAACAGAAATATCGCGTCCTCTTTAAATAATGTTTTTGTTATCTGATAAAAATAAATAATGAAAAAACCGAAGTATTTCATTTCAAAAAGCTTTAGAACACATTCGTACTGGGACGTACTTTTTTTGAAACAATTTACGAGGGATAATTATACAATAAACAATTCAATGTCTTTCGAACACACTTCGCAGTAAAATTTCTTGTCTTGTTAATACAGTGCTTTTCATACAATACTATAATAGATACAATAAAAGATTTCATATAAATGAACATATTGCGGATATTCTGTTTCAAACTATCTTCTAATCCTTTTATACTTTTTCCTGACGTTGAGAGCGGTTACCACAAGTAGATTTCATTGCAACGACAAAACCTTTAAAACGGTTTTTATTCAAGCCTGCTTATTTATTATTGTTTATTCATGGGCTTGTTCATCTAAACAATGCGATGGGTATACGCGAACCGCACTTTTTCTTTTAATCTATAAGGAATATCTATGTGGTCAGCTTAGTTAGCAATGTACTGCTGATTATAATTTTAGTGTTTGTTTACGTTACGTATGAAGACAGATGTCCCATGCATGAAGATGGATGTACCATGTACGAAGCTGGACTTTGACGAGTAAGTTAGATCAGAGCAATCTCTATTCCGCGCGGTTGATTAATTATTTAACATTCGCTTCAGATTTATATTTAGCTTTTTCTAAATGCTCTTTAGATTAGATAAGATTAGGTGGCATGAATAAGCATCTATTTTTACAGATATCCACGAGTACATTCGAATTGTACAACCCTTCCCAAGCATTTGATAAGCAATCCATCGTTTAGGGACTATTTCATCACGTGATGGTAAGTTTCCTTCTTTCTCGATTTTACATATGATTCCAAAAAATGTTTTAAAATTTTCAAGGATCGTTTGGTCTTGACAAAGCTGCCGCGAAATACTTAACGCGTCTAATACAAAGTGACCGAAAATGTTTCTAAAAAGAGAAAAATATATTATCGATAAGGTATAAAGCGTATTATTCTCGTAATAACGTATCATTCTTAATGCAAGAATTTTCAATAAAAAAGGCTTCGATTGGAATTTAAAAAGTTTAAAACCCAATAAGACATTAATTCATTATATCGCAGGACGCTAAGTAAAGTCTTTGATGTAAAAAAAAGCAAGCCTAAACAAATTGTTCTACGATCTGTAGGCTTTTAACTATGCATTTCAATAAATGGAATTAAAGTTGATGTATAATTTTTATTTCGTTTACTGTCACAACACACAATAATTAATGATTGTAATACTTAAAAACAAACTAAATAAATAAAAATAACAATAATAATCGTAGCGAAAAAAAAACAACGGATAATAAAGAAAGAAATATAATATGTAAGTTTATATAGTGGCAAATATTATTGTATAAAGAATGCATATATACCTACAATAAAACTTCTTCGATCATTTTTCGCTTGCCTTGTAGGAAAAACTAAAAAATTTTCTATCTATCTCATACAAACATTTCTTCATTTCTCTCTCTCTCTCCCTCGCTTTGTCTCTCTCCCCCTCTCTGGCGCCCTGTCTCTTTTTCCCCTCTTTGACATTTTAGTGGTTAAGAAAAATTTCCAAAGATTATTAAAAATTGAAATAATGTATAATAGATGTGCAACTTCCTTACGTGCTTTTTTAATTACAGCGTAAAATAAAAAAATAAATTGATAAAAAATGTTGGAAAGTTCAATGTAAAAATTTTAAGATTTTGAAAATGTCGTTGAGAAAATCTTTATAAGCAAAATGTTATGAACATTAAATGTCCACTCCCCTCTGGCCAACTAAATTTTCAAAAACTACAAGAACGCAATGATTTGATGATAATTTAACCGATATTAAAAATGTAAGTGCGACTTAAAACGCTAAAAAAGAACGAAAACGTTTCGTTTTTATACCCGTTACCAAAGATGAAGAATACAATAATGTACACACATACATATTTTTACTTAGCGCTATTCCCTTTGCCCGTTCGTCTGTCCGGTACTCTCATGATAAGATAAATAAGCAGCGCGGAAACTGAGCGCCTACATATTGTCCCTTTTTTCTAATCCTTTCACTTAAGTTCAACTAACCATTTGTTAACAAAAATGAAAAGACATTCGATCATTTTCAAGCTGTAATTGAATGCGGAATGAAGAAACTATTTTGCAACCCTTCATATAATTGCCTTCATTGCTAATCCGACATTGGTATCCGATAATCGCTTCAGGTTGGATATAATTTCCTCGTATTTCTACTTTTTATTTTAAGTTTTCCAAATATATTTAGATCCATTGTGTCTGCAATCATCAGAACTGAAGGTATTGAACGAAGTAAAGCCTCAACTCGCATATAATAACGAAGAGCACATCTTATAATTAAATATTTAAGTATTTAAAAAACTGCCAATTTTTACACACAAATGTATGTAAAAATAATAAAAGAAAAGAAAAATTTTTTAGGTTTTAAAAGCATTCAATTCAAACGCAAAATTAACATATCCAGCGGAATGTTAAGAAAAGAACTAAAGAGTACGTGAAATGAAAACAGAACGGGAATTACGTATTTGGTTTGAGAGACTAATCCAAAAATGTTATATGACTAAAATCAGATGTATTGATGCGATTAGAGAAGGTATGTTAAATATGGCCGTTCAGCTTAGGGGAGGATTAAATAAAGTTTTTATTTATTGCGTTTAACACTTGAGCTCTTCAACATTGCTGGAATAAGAAGCAATAAAAACGTCCGATTTCATTGAATGAAAACCATAAAAGAGTTTAATTACATCTCAATATATAAATTTCATATAACATTTTTGATGAAACGGTATAGAAACGAAAGATAAATTCCCAAATCAAATACGAGTGATGTATATAAGCGAATTGAGATAAAATTCTAAAAAAGTCAAACTGAACAACAGAGTCAACAAGAATGGCCACAGAATCCCCGAATGCTGAACATTACGCGTTTGGCTTTAGATCTATGCTACCATGACGGTAAGAAAACATAGTCTTAAATATGATTTTAGGTTTATGTTCTAAATACATTTAATGGATTACTTCCAAATTCTCTTCTTTAATTTAAACTTTATCATTACAAGGAAAATACTAATAAATCATGTACCCAACTAAACAACCATATAAAGGTTAAGTATAAGATAATTTTAGATTTTAGACTTACTTTAAATAAACGTACACATAACAATTGAAACAAAAATTATAAGTTTTTCCGATGTGAAAATACATTTTTTCGAAAGCTTTTCAGTCTTGTATAACAAAATCAAGAAAAAATTCGTCAAAATAATTCCTAACACAAAACATTCTATATAAGAAGACCACTTCTTAAGATTTGATCTATAAGATTTAAAAGAAATCCAGGATAGTTCAATGCATACAATAAACTAAAATTTAAAAAAGCATCTATAAATTGCCCTCTTTGTCAGTGTCAGTGTGAGCATAATAATAATAATGAATTACGCTAAAATCTACAATTATATTTAAACGAAACCCCAAAAATCAAGCAAATCTTGATAAAATTCACATGCTGCATGTAAAATCCATTACAAAAATTGCTTCAATGTCAAAATACTTTAGTTTTTAAAGTAAATTTAAATTAAATTACTTAAAAACAAAAAAAAAACAAATATATATATATAAATAAAAAATATATATCTAAATAAAATTAGTGAAAATTAAACACAAAAGTATAAAGGAAAACCTGTAGTAAAAAATAAAAAAAATAAAAAAAAATTTGAACACAAATTATTTTTTCAATATAAAAAAAATCCCCATAAAACAATCATATTTTATTTTCTCTTTTTCCCAAAAAAATTTAAGCAAATAACGAAAAAAAATAATAAATAAATATATATATATATATATATATATATATATATGCTTTAATTTAGATTTAATAAAAAATATATAAAAACCATAGTAAAACTAACTAAAAAAAAGGAAAAAGAACACTGCTTTTGTATAATTTAAGGTTAAAATTAATAAAGTATAAGTCAATGAAGAGAGTGTAATAACGCGGTAATAATTATGCAACATAATAATTATAATAAAATAATAACAAATAATAATAATACTAAAAAATAACCGTTTGAGAAATTTTACTGAATTCAATAAAAAGCGATAACAAAAACGACAGAAAAACAAAATAAATAATGTTGAAGTGGAATTAAGTAAATTCCAAATAAATAAAAAAAACAAATATTCTTAGTTTTTATTTCCAAAAAGTTTAATATGAGAGGTAAGACGAAATGAAAACGGGAGATAGACGAATAACGAAAAGCGATGCAATTTTTTAAAAGATTTCTTTTTATAACTTGTCTTATGCGAAACGCTGGTTTTGACCGATGTTATCAAAGGAGAAAAGTGGGCGCAGAGATAGCAATTCCAATTTAACATCCGTAACAAATATTATATAATATCGACATGTAGCTAATTAACAAAACAGAATTTATTACAAAACGTAACAATCTTTATGTCGACTCTAGTTTTAAGAGTTATAGCAACAACTTTCATTTCAGTCATCCGTGCGTTGTAATGACAAAAAAACACATTGCAAAAACATTTCTTTGTTTCGCTATTAAAATAGCAAGGCTTTTAGTTTAAGGCTTAATCAATTTGCATTATTTGAAGGAATAATCCACAAAAATTGCTCACTTATCACCAAAGTGGGAATAATCCATAAACAAATGTGGTTGATTATCATTTCAATTGGGTGTGTCGGAATTTAAAAGTTCATCGGCCATTTAGAACGGTGCTACAAATTATTTAAGATTAGGTTACGTAAATTAGATAATGGATTCCTCCGTAATTATCAGAAAATTGCAGGTAAATAAAACATGATAAGTAAAGATGAGTTGTTGTTATAAGTGGTGCTAAAATGTATAAAAATATGATTTTAAAAAATATGGATTTCGACTGTTTTTTCGAAATAAAAAACGATCGACCGAATAATGATAACTTTTACAAATATATTGTTTTTACGTCTGTGTAGATTATTTTTCACACTTTCCTGCCGGGGTTACCCTTTCTGACAAATAAAAATAGAAATCAATTGTAAATCGAATACAAGTCTGTTTATAAAATGTTTGCGTTTGTGAAAATATAATTTTTTTCTTCTTTGTGTCATTTATGAAAGAAGAGTTATTGCTGCTGCCAGAGAAGTTTTTATCGACAATCTGCTTTGTGTGTGTATGAAATAGAAATTTTTGCTAGTTCTGCGAAGGAAAAGCGTAAAAAAAATTAATTTTAATATTATAAATGCGACGTTAGAGCGAAAAAATAAAACGTGTGAAAAAAAGAAAAGCTATTCATGAACTACTATTTGGTAAAATTAAATTTTTTAAAGTGAAAAATTTTGATAATTTATTTGCAGCTGCATAATTCGCAAAGAGAACAATAAGATTTCAAAATGATTGTCAGAGGATCTGTAATTGTGGTCTTTTTGATTTCTGGCTTGTCATTTATTGGTAAGCGAAATATTCAATTTATTAAGACGAAATAAAATTAGATTCAACTAAAGTGTTATAGATAATAATGAGCACAATTAATGTAAATAGTTGCCTTTGTTTGCGGAAATGTAGCTCATTACTCATCCTAAAGTTGAGAACGTAATTATAATTTAATTTGCTCAGCTGTTATTGTGTTCTTCTGATGGAAAATATGTATAGTTGTGTTTTCACAAGAAATTGTTGAAAATAAAACTTTTCCATAACAACCAATTGCAAGCGAAATTGCATTGTGTACAATATGTGCTTTGATAGTTTTTGATCTATCATCAAATTTTCTGCGAATGCATATTTTTGTTGGATCGAACAAGCCTCCTTGTTTCTTTCGTTATCATATAAACACAATTTCACAATAGTTTGCTAAGTCAGTTAAATGTATCTTCTTTTTTAACCAATAGAATTTATATTATAATAAGATGGGTTGCCAAAGCAATCTTATATGTGTTTTGGAAGAAAAAACGAAAAAATATGTTATAATTCAAAATTAAATTTCTTTATATATACAACATTTTTTTCTACAAAGCTGAATGCATAAGCAGCATCTTTTACCGTGTAAACTTTTCGCTTTCATTTGTAAAAGTGTAAAAATTGTTGTCATTTACTTTGCTTATCATTAGGAATTCAATAGTTAATTTCACATTGTACTATTTTAACTGCTGACTTATTGTTTTCACTATAGGTTAATTTATTAAACTTACCTGTGAAATGTGCAATATTTGATGATATCATAAAACTTTAAACTTCTTGTTGGTTTTGAAAAATGAAATCCATTATGTATGATTGCAGATTTGTATCCAAATAAACTTCTTGGAATAAATTGTATCGCAAAGTCGTACCTCTCCGTGAAGTAAATGCCGCACTTCGTTAAATCAGTATATGAATTTATTCGCACTTAATAAAAATCTAAAAACTAAGGAATTTTTCAATGGGTTTGGTAAATAATATACATTATGGATCTTGTAGAGAAAAAGGTTAAATAATACTCTCCTTTTAAGTGTTGCGCGTTGGGAGAGAAAAATGAAATGAAATTTGATTTTTTGGTTGTCTTATAAAAAGAAAGTCCTCCACTACAACCTTGCTAAAAGTTTCCTCTTTGCACAAAAAAAAGCAAATAAAAACACAAGTGGGGCATGACCCATCATTAAATACCCTCTAGTTCTACAGTTATCCATATATCGACTTTTTAAAGTAAATTTTTCAACTTTTTCTTATTTATCTATGTAAATGTTTAAAATGTTTTAAGTAATTTATTGAGGGGAGTATACAGAGATTCACAAATGAATTCGAAGCAGCCAAATGTGCTTTAGGAATCGCCTACCGGAAACCTTTATGAAAGTGAATAAAACGAAATTATCTGTTTGGGCATGTAGCGCAAACACCATTAGCGCTTCAAAATTGCGTCTACAATGTTCTTGTAAAATCCTTTGTAATGTCGTTCACAAATCTTGAATCTTAAAAATAGGAAATGCATTGTCTTTTATATTAATATAATAAATTCTCTTTATGACATTTCATGTGCTATTGAATGATTTATGTTACTGTTGAGGAATGTTATGGCGACGGTTTTGAACGACGATTAACTTGTTGCTACAGTGAAGTGGCAGTCCTTTTTTTCCCGTAGATAATGCTACCAATCTTATTTCCGTATTTCTTCCAAAATTATAGTTTCTCTTTATTGTACACGTTGCGTTTATTATTAACCAAATAAATCATAAATAAATAGTAAATATTCTTATTTACATAGATACTTTTGTTGAATTAAGCCAAACAATGTATTTTTAATTTTGGAACAAAACGCAGATATATTCGCCTAAAGACGAAATATGTAAATGTGTCAAGTCGATAATTTAAAATGTTAATTTCAAGTTTTTGATGGATTAATATGTACTGGCTGGGGAGTCTCCGGTGCGCCTTTCTAAGCGTTACCAGCGTTGGGAGAAACCGGTTGTCTCCTATCCAAAGGGCATTGTTCTCATGAAAGATTATAATTCAATTAAAGGTCGGAAGATGATAAGACAAACTAATTAAACTTTGTTATTCGCAATGTATCCATATTTTCATTTCCTTTTTTTTCTTTATTTTAATCCGTTATCTTAATGATAGTCCTACGTTTATCGCAACCAACTGTACTTGACGAATTCGTACCAATATCCACTTTATAGAATCATGTTGGCAGATAGAATATTTAAATAAGTCCTTTAGAGGACTTCGAACATTATTTGTGTTCACCATTTTCATTAGTCTGCCGCATAGGCAGATAAAAGTTATTCAGCTTCTCATTCATATGTGAAATAGCATTGTCCCGCTTCTTACCTCGTTCTCTTCATTTTTAAAGTAGTAGTAAAGAGCTGTACTTCTTTCGTGATTTCCTTTTCTAAGTAAACTTATTTTAAGTAGTAATAGGTCCAATTAATTTTTTTGGTTTAGTTATCAGAGAACACCCCCAGTTTGTGGTTTTATATGGCACTTTTAATTTTTATTATAAAATTTTCTATAAACTTTGGTTTTTTTTTGGATGAATAGATGCGAATGTTTATCTTTGTAGATGAACTTGATAGTGAAGATCTAATTCCTGTCTATATATTCGTTTAGGATCTGAGTTTTGTCCGGTTTTTTATTAACATTTTCAGCTTGCTTTCATACTTTTTGTAATTGTTTTCTTAAGTGAGTTAACTAGTTCTTACGAATGAATTTATTTTTTTAAACAACATTTGATCAGTTTTAGTTTATGGTTTTAGTTATATAGTTTCCAATTATTTTGTTTACATTGCGTCCACATTTCTAGATAAGTTTTTGTTAGATCATCATAGCAAGTCATTACCCTTATATGTTCGTCTTTTGCAGTTATTTAATTCTAATTCATTTAATTTTTGTATTACGTCTAGGCTTTCTTTCGTCATTTCTGCTATTCTAGTTTGTATTTGTTTTTCTTTTTGTCTGTACATCAAACGTTTAGAAAGGTATTGTCACCCACTAACTCAGAGCTGAAATTTCATGCTGGCGTGTCAAGAGAATATTCTTCACGATCGCTGACATGTACGATATTTTATTGTGCACAATGCGATCAGAACTATTTGTTGTGAAATATTTTCTAGAAAGTTAATCACGCATTTTGCACTTTCTGTCGTTGCCTTCATATGTTTGGGGTTTTCTTTAGCCATCCACTAGCCAATTAACATTCCTTGCCGTACACGTACTCAGATTGGTATACTTTTAGAACAGGAAGAAAGAGCATGTATCCATAGAGTGCACTCACTTCATTATATTGGGAAAATGCGGTTAGTGAAACTCTTAGATAGATGCGCTCAATAGGACCTTTACATTGGCGAATTAAGTTTTTCCAGGCAGCTGATATGATCTTTCGAACTTAAACAATCGTTTGCCCTTCCGCAGACCTTCTTTTATCGAGAAAAAATTGATGGCCTTTAAAGATACAAAAATATGCATTCAGCAAAAACCCGACTGTGAACCAGGTGGATGGAGCGGACGGAATTCTTAAACCGTGTCTGCTTTGAAAATATGTGCTTTTTCTCTTGAAGTAATTGTAGTAGTTGCCTAAGATGTTCACGCATTGCATTCTCTTCGATGAATTAAAACAAACTCAGGTATGAATAATCACGCGCTTAGCACAATTTAATTCACACGATTGGCTTAAAACCTTCATTTACACCTGATTCGTGTCATCGGTTCTAACATGAGAAGGAATTAACATTTTCAGCTTATCGTGAGCGTTCACCGAATCGTCAAAACTTTTGAAACTTTCGTAATCGTGGAGTGCTGATTTTATTCGCCATGAACAGCTATTCGCTCATTTTGGTCCAAGTTATACGTTCAAATTTCAAAATTCATTGTTAAGCGTGGTCCTGAATCGGGACTATTTTTAGCTGACTCCAGTAAATGTTTGCATTAAATCAATGCCCCTTAAAGGCTTAAGTCAACGTGTTGTCTTTCGTATGAATGACTGCTTATTTGTTTCTTTTACTTGATTGTTGCTTTATACACATCACCGAAGGGTTATATATAAGGGTATATTCATTTTGTCAAAACGTTTGCTCAGTCATATTTCAATTGTCAATTTTGGTTTGAACGATTCAAAAGTGGTGGTTGTGATGCCAAAGAAACGGACCGAAAACGTCCGAAAAGAATGAATGACAAAACTAATTGGGTATGGGAAGTTCTGCAACACGCAGCGTACGCACCAGGCATGACGCCACTTTTTCAGGCCGATACAGCGAGGCTTGGCTGGCACGCGACACTGCAAAGGTGAAGAAGTGCGAAAATGAGTCGGAGATCGAGGCCAAACCAAAATAAGTTATTTCGACACGATGTAGCCATGTTGCCAAAAATATGGTAGAAAATTATGGAAAATGTTTTGATTAATATAGACTAATATAGATTGTACCAATTTTCAATCGAAAAAATGGCCAAAATGAACGCAGCCACCTAATAGTTTATAGCTTTTGTTATCTTGATTGCAGCAATTTTCTCTTTTTAAAGGTAATCTGCAACTATGAATTAAGAGCTTACAGTCGCACGATTCAGCAAAGGAAAGCAGGAACGAACACGAATAGCACGACAGAATTGACTCTTGTTGTAATAATCGAGAATATATTTTTGTTTTAGAACATCTCTAAACATATTTGCAAATGGTGAGCACGTGGGAACGATTCTATGATATCTCCATTCCTTGATGTGTGATGTACAAAAAGTCAGAGTAGATTAAGCCAATATCATAATTGCCAGATATGTTAAATAAAATTTGTAATCAGTAAAGGAAACACAAATAAAGAGGCTGTGGCTAAATGTTTTATTCCCAACATCTTTATCTTAATACGTTCCCTGCTGCGTTTACCGGCTTTAGTACTTGCCAAAACTCATTTCCGTGCCGAACTTTTTAAATGAAGTTTTTAATATTGGAAGGTGTTAATATTGACAGGTTAGTCGACTTTATAACTATTTTATACGACCCAATGATGTTTACAGGCCTGTTTGAGGTTGTTTGAAGTCCATACCGAATATGGCAGTTCGTCAGCTAGCTCTTTTCTTTGTACTCTTAACATAGACTAAATAATAAGTCAGCCTGTTTTCTTATTTGCTTTTCAAATTTCTATTTCGCATTTTGTCGTTTGGATATTAATAATTAAGAAAAATATATGTTTTCTCTCGTAAGCACAAAAAAAGTATAGATTCTAAATGACTAAATTTGTATTTTGTGTACAGTCGTGGAAATGGCATTTACTTATAAGCAGCTTCGTAAAGAACGTGTAAACAACTAAATTGTATAAAATTATATTCCATCGTAACCGAATCTTTTATTCCGATCATCGTTATCCTGAAAACGACAAAAAAAGTAAAGAACTAGATTTTGATGCTTTATAATATGAAATGGGCACGGTTGATTTTTTCTATTTTCAAAATACAAGTGTTTGTCGAATAGGCGCGTCCATGGAAAAGTTGAGGTCATTTCCAAATTCTTTTGCAAATTTGTAGGCCATATCTTCGTTTTCGCTAACGTGAGAATGTTTTCCACAAATACTACACAGTTGCGCAGACAGGCAGATAGACAGACGATCAGATAACCATTTTAAGTCGCATTTCACATTTTTTTTTTTTGCTTTTGAAAAACAGATTCATGTTATAGCGTTAGCGCGTGTTTTAATCAATTAGATTTAACTCATACAAACAAACAACAAAAGCTTTCGGCGGTTATTTTGTTTCGAGGACCGCATATTGGAATTTGTCTTGCACAGAAAGGGAAACGTATATCATTGATTGCCCTAATGAACTTTTAAGAAGTGTTCGATTTAAAAGAAAAGAAGACAACATTAATGTATAGCGTAGATATAATAACGTCTTTGTTTAACAAAATCTTATTCTTCAAGCTTAAGTTGGATCTCTCGCCAAGCTTCATGCACAGAGCCGCCGTCTCTACGCACTAAAGTCTTTAATATGCTGTATGTGTTTTCCTTTTTGCTTTCAAATATTTCATATTAAATTTGAAAAGAATACACTGAAATTCCAATATTGTCGCATGACGATGTGTTTATTTAGGTGTCTTATCGAGGCTTAACCTTAGGTTTCATATTATTTAGCGCATATTTATGAATAATTTTTACCAAATTACTTCCTATCTTAAGCGGAATTTTGGATACTTGCGATTAGAGCTTTTATCTTTTTACTCTCATTTTTTGTATGTAGCTATAACCATTTCGATGACTCATTTAAATGAGTGAATACATTGTAAATTAAAAAATTAAAATAATAGTTACCAACTGAAACACTATACGAAAAAAATATTGTTATTCATATTATTATTAAGAATGTCATACGAGAGATTTATATATTGTTGGTATTGCGCAAATTTATCAGATTTACTGCGTTACTTTCAAGCAACACACATATCAACGGTTAAAAGATTACGGCCTCTGCTGGACTAAGAACAAAAAGAATTCATGTTATTCTGTTCTTTGGGAATGTATTTATATTAGCGTATAAAAGCATTGGAGCATCTGAAGATAGATAGAGGGAAAATTGCTTACACTAGTTTTGTTGCACCATTTTTAATATGCAGTGTTTTTCGCCAGAACTATAGAAACCAATTTTCGTATTGCTACTTACGTAACTAAGCCAGGGGGAAACTTAAGAAGTCTACTTTTTTTTTTAAATCACGAAGTTCATACCGTTAAATAGGAGGTTTATTACTCATCTAAGATGTTCTGTCAAAAAGTTGTTAAATTACTATATCATGGCAATACCTACAATACGCAAGTTCCGACGTTCTCTCGTAGAAGATTAATAAGCTCTCTTTACTTTTGCGTGAACAATTCGCTTCAAGAGAAGTATCACTGCGGCTGGATTAATATAACAAGGATTTTAAACTTGCTTGTAATACTGCTACTACCGCTAGTATGGGTTAACTGCCATCTTAAGCCGTTCGAAAACACCGAGAATTTATCTACCCAATAATTTAAAGATGCTCGATTTATTTATTTCTACTTAATAGGTTAGAAAAAGGTTTCAAATATCAAAGTTTGGTCAACTGCATTGTTACCAAGCAATGAATGTCGTAGTGTAAGTACTTGAAGAAAAACTATATCAGTAAAAAAATTTTTCTTGCGATATAAAGGCGGCTATTTCAACTCTCACGAAAGCAATTTGCAATTGGAAGCAATTGTGATGAGCGGCATGTTTCATGGTCAAAATATCGAGAGAAATATCAAAATCCGAAAAGTACAACTGCCCATGTCCAAGCACCATGTTTTGGTGTAGTTTGTAATTTTTATAAACTGAAAATCGAATAGAGTGAAGTAGATCAAATAGGCCTAATTTATTAACATAGACTATTCGCCATAGAACTCTGGCCTTTCCGACTCGAAAATTTTGGATGGAACACAAAGATTGAAGGAAATTCTTTGCACAACTAATTAAAGTGATCCGTTGGAAAGATTTGCAAAACACTAACCCCTGCGAATAAAAACAACGTCAGCTTTGAACATTTAGCCTCCTACTCTCTAAATTAGTCAACAAATTAGTTGTTACTTTTGAATGATCAATTCCCTGTTAATTGTAAAAATATTACATGCGTACATTTTTGATTCGTTAACGGGAGCAATTTCCTCCCATGGCCATCATGGGCATATAAACAACTAGAAAGTATAGGGCATCTAAAGTTCGACTTTGCCCGCTTATAGCATTCTTTTATTTCAAAATTTGTTTGTTACGATTTTGTCTTTAAGATATAAACGTGGGAAGTTAATTCCCTTCAAGGAAATTAAATATTAACTTCGCTTTTAATTAATTAATTCTTTCAGATGCTCAGAAGACCGATCATTTAAATTTGCCTGATGTGCCATCGAGGCCTGAACCTCTGTCTGCCACTAATGAAAAAGAGACGACTTCCACGGCAACGACAACTACAACAACAACCACCCCCACAACTACTTCAAAACCTCCTCCAAAGTCTACAACAACTACCACCACGACAACGCCAAAACCTCCACTTACTACTACCGCAGCACCAGTGACAACTCCGGCTCCAGCACCTCCTGCAGATCCGGAAATTGTAACTTGGAATTCAAGTTGTATAATGGTGAGGATGGCTGCTCAATTGAATTTCTCTTATGAAACCAAAGGTAAGATTTTTGAAGAACGGTTTCGTTTACAAGAAAGCAGGTATGCTTTCCTCACTCCGATAAGTAAATGTTTTTAGGCAACTTGGGTCGAGAACGTTGCACAGAGGGAGTTACATGAACAATTTAAATACCACAAACCGGCTCATTGGTATGCTCAACAATAAACGAGCGAATATACAAAAAATATGCTTATTTTTCCTCAGAATAAGTAACTGCATCAATGTAGCTATGTGTGTATGAGTACGTGTGTGCTCGTTAAGTAAAATCTTCGCTATAGATTCGAAAATTTCTTTAGAAAACCAAAGCTTTGGAGTCAGCTTGATTTAAAAAATTAGTTAAATTTTAATCCATGTTTCTTTCACAATCAGTTAAAAACGAATAATTTCCATTTTAGAATTACCTTCAAAAAAGACTTCATAGATTTCGTCTATTCACAAAAACATTGGGAAATTTCGTAATTTGACGGCTAAACAATGCAAGAGTTTTCTAATTAAATTATGGATTTTGTGAAAGGTCGCCCTGTCAGACTTTTATTTATTCCGAAAACTCGAAAGTCGCTAAGGTAAGACAAAAAAGTCGTCGACTAAATATATTATAGTTGCTGTGAAGGAGTGTTTAGTAGTCTTAAAAGAGGGGGCAAGAACGGGCAATATTAAATGAGTTGAACAAAGTATATTAAACTTCAGGGAAAGTGCGTTGAAAAAAATAGTATTTTATATCGTTTAAATAAATTTCATTGTTTGGCTTACAAAGCTTCTGAAAAGCCTGACAAATTTTGACGTAATCCGCGATTCGCCTAAAATCTAATACATCTTGACTTGTTAATATGCATATGTGCTTTTATACTGATTACTTGTGTTTTCTTTTTAGATAATCTAAACGCGTATGGTTTGTACAACATACCTAAAAATTCGGTAGTAGAAGATGCTAATTGTGAGCATAATACCACGCAAGGATTACAAATTAACTGGGGTCCCAAAGAAGCTCAACATGTAATGTCATTACAATTTCTTAAGAACAACGGTACCTTCAATTTAACTATGATAATGTTTACCATACCTTTGTTGAATGATACGTTCTCAAATGCTAAAGGTAAGTTATTAAAATCGATTTTGCTTTGAATTGGACGCTAAACTATTCGCCCTTTTAGAAAATCAAACTATAACTTTGGTGCATCGCGGTCCACTTTTTGCGGCCCCCGTTCAAATGTCTTATCATTGCACCCGTCCGCAAGTTTTTAATATGACTCGCACCATTATTAATGACCAAGTAGTTGGTACTCTCAAGGTCCACGATGTCCAGATGGAAGCTTTCCGCACTCCTAACAAAACTGGTTTTTCGGCAGCTCGCGACTGCGATAGCACCGAGACTTCGGACGTGGTGCCTATTGCAGTTGGCATTGCTTTGGTTGCTTTAATTATGATTGTTTTGGTTTCTTACCTTTGCGCTCGGCGCCGCTCGAATTCACGTGGCTACATGAGCTTTTAAATTTTTAAATTTAATGTTTTTCTTTTTTGCTTTTTTTTTTTTGTAAACTTTGAACGAAACAGAGCATACGGAGCATGTAAAATGTGAAGTTAGGCTACCAGAAGTGTTTTTTGAATTTGTTTTAAAAGCACTACAGTTATACTGACTTTGCCTTTCAAGCTTTGTTGTTCTCCGAAGCAAAGAAAGTAAAGAAAGAAAACTTGTGTGATTAAAAAAAGAAAAAACAAAAATTTATTAACACAATCTCTTAACACAACAAATCGTACATCGTCCATATTAAACAAACAGCTGTAATCTTTTTCAAATTTTCAAAACCAAAATGTTTTACTTAAGTATTCGACACATTGTTATAATTGGTATTTTCCTTTAACATAATCTACCTGTCTTTCTAAATTTTACGAAATTACTATTACTATTACCTTCGAAATTTTTTGTATATTAATATTTGTTCAGTGTTTGGCTTTATGCGTTTACGATTCTCTCTTTTTTATTAATATTACAACTTCATGTCATTCATTGGGCTCGTTATTATTTTCTCTTCATATGAGAGATGTTCTCTCATGCAATGTATGTATAATGTTTATTATATTATTATTATAATTTCTACAAAGAGAAGGACTTCTGAATTGGCCTTAAATTGTATATTTTATTAGATATCGGATCTATTTGCTACAATTTTCCTCAAGATCATTCTTATTCTACGCATTATAGCAAAATAAAATATAGGAGATGTGAAATAAATAATAAAAAGAATTAAAATATATTTTGAATGGAATTTGATTTATAAAGGAATAGAATATTTGAGAGAACAAAGATTATTAGACCATTACTAGTTCCTTTTAGCCGTGGAAAACTGTTCAATTTATTAGTCCTACCTTCTTCTGATTTCTTGAGATGTTAATTTTATTGAAGTACGATTACCATAACTTTAAGTATATAATTTCAGATGTTTGGGGAAAAGCTAGAAACACAAGAATCCGATTTTAGTGAATATAGCAAATAATCGTACAATTCGCAAGATAACATCCTTTGTTTGATCATAAGCTTATGTGAGGAAGAAAAACTTTTTCTTTTTCAACAACAGTACCATGCTCATGGTATTTGATCGGACATCTCTTTTGTAGAATATATGCTTTCACTTCGTATAACATCTTTTTCTTTTAGCTTACATCGTACTAATAATTTTTCGCAGACAGAGCACAGATTCTCGGTTTTATATGAAGAACTTGAGCTCCAGTTGTAACAAATGAAACATAAAACTTAAATTACAATCACATGCTTTTCGAGGTTTCATTTACAATGCGGATATTATGCTATAATGCACTTGGGAAAGCAATTAAGTTCTTTACATTTGTGAATACAAACTGTTTTATCAAACATGTGTTGGTAATGAGTACAGACAGTTGGAGTAAATGGTGGTATTTCAAAAGGCAGTTGCTTGAGCCCCATAGTCTCCAATCTATATACCGGTAATTTGCATGACCTTCAATATGACAAAACTCATATTTTTCAATATGCAAACTCACTCAACAAAACTCCTCAATATATTCTCATTGTCACTTCCAGTGAATTCCCGAACTTCCCGAATTTCGTACTAATAAGGAGTTACTTAAGATGAAGATAATGAAGCCTTCGTTTTTACCGAAATTTATATCTCTCAGTAATCTGTCTCTTGCAGCTACACATATTGTTATCAAAAAGTTCGTCGTATTTTCGACAAGATGAATTCAATTCCTCTCTGGAGGTTTGTTACCAATAAATGTAAAGTCTTCATGGACATTCTAAAATGAATCTCTACTACGAAGCGAAATATCAAAATTTTTTAAAATCTTATCTCAAAAAAAACTTCTATGTTGCAACAAAAAATCTTTACTATACGACTTACTAAAATAATTCACATTCATCGCTACCAAATTCATTGGAATCATGAATGGCATGCTCGTACATACACCTGCATTCTGAAACATAACGTTCATAGATTCCTTACAAGAAATTCTTTTAGCAAACTTAATTAGACGACTAAGATCTCCCGTAATGCATTCCTCTACATCCGCTAAATTATTATTGTCCAATCATTCAGGATTGGACATCCGCTCTTCGCGTAGCGCAGTGACGGTCTACATGTACGAACATGATCGTACACGTTTTGAAAACTTTGCCCGATCTTGGACTTGGGAGTATTTAAGTTTTAACAATATTTTTTCTCCTCAAATTCCTTTTTTTTGTGTTAATTTAAATCAACGAGCAAAATTAACTCTTTGAAGTACTGTGTACGTTTTCGTATGCATATTTGAAACCTATATATATTTGATTCACCGTGAAGTATTATTATTATTATTCGCAAAATAACTCTTATTTTCCTAATTAATTTTTTGTAATATATTATTCATTCCCTTTGTCAAACTTCTTTGTGCACTTGTAAAATGGATTTGATTTTTCACTAAAATCCGTTAGCTGGTTTTTTCCCTTACGTGGTTTATAAAACCAAGTACCATGGGTGCTTCGATTATGTTAAAGTGTACGAGAACGAGGTCATTATTCTGTTAAAGCGGTGGAAGTTAGTGTGAACATGTGATTATCAGTTGGTTTCTATTTGACATTAAGTTGGATTGCTTTAAATCGAGTCTCACCAAACCCAAGAGCGCGAAATTAATCAAAAATTGCAAAATGCAATTAAGCACTTGATGACAGTTAATGTCACTTTTAAAATCAGTGAGAGCTTGCAAAATCTTTTTCTCTTCGTTCGCTTCTTTTCTTTCGTTCTATAATGCACGCTTAGCGAACATTCCTCAAACCGCATGTTCGAGTTGTTCTTCATCGATCGACCTTTAATAAAAGTACAAATTAGAAAAAAATATGCCCCTTGCAGAAAGAAGACGGACTTTAAATATATATCCTTTGAAAACATGTCTGTCTCGGTACATGGATAACACAAGCCCCTTTTTGAGAATTGTCATTATCTCTTTGGCGGATAATTTACGTGAACTAAATTTTTCCAGTTCTACTGTGTTCATTGGAGTGGGCCGCCATTTACTTCTCGATTTGACTGTCACACTTTCAACGGCCGCCTTCGGATTAGACAAAACTATTAGGCAATTATCTTCACAGTCGGTCGCAATGAAATTGCACAGTCGGGTCATCAACAGTATGAGGAACATAATCGAAAAATTCTTGTATAATTTCGACAAAATCGAACAAAACGAACGCCTCGATTTCTTGCGAAAGCTCTGCTACAAAGCCCAAAGTTGGTATTTAACAACTGCCATTATTTGAAGTAGAAGCTACTGCCGAAAATGTAAAAAATCAATTTATTTTTTTTGGTATGTTGAATGGAGATGGACTAAAAATCAATTTTAATGCAAAAAAATAAAATTTATAAACCTACTCGAGGTAAAATAGAAACGGATGTTTGTTTTTGATATAATTTTCTTTGCTTTATTTTGTAATTGTTTCAAATTTAGCGTCGGAACATTCTGCTTTCATTGTTTTCTTGTGTTCCGTTTTATTTTGATTTTCACAGCTAGAATCTCTTTCGGAACCAGCCCTGCTCCCACTGTCCACAATATTTTGATTTGCATGTAGAGTTTAACAAGTGACAATCCCCGAATAGCCAACGATTATTCTTATTTTCCTAATGCAATCCAAGTTGATATTAAATGGTTGGCGGAAGTTAACGTTGCAATAAAGTCAAGTTTTGTACTAACCGTCGAAAGTACTAAAGACAGTTTTATGATATGGATAGGAAAATTTTATTTTTACCAATTTAAATTCTTTCTCACATTTGAAACAATTCTCATCTAGAATTTTGAGCTCTTTATGTTCATCTGGTAACTATAGACCATTTCTACAATTCGGGTAATTAAGGCAACCAATGGTAAATTCATTTTCAGAAGTGTTATCAAGGCCTCATTTAGAGCCTTATTAGGTTTGCTCTTGGCGTTTCCTTTGTAATTAAAGTAATAAATGATGCCATTGACTCGCCTTCATTACTTGGTGAAATAAGCTTTAATGTCCCTAACCGCTTCTCTAGGCACTTTATCTTGGTTAAGCTTAGTCAGTGTAAATTTAATTATGAGCTGTTCAATCCGCTCAGAGTCGTTTGCAAGAACCTAAATGACGTCTACCACTTATTCTCGTTATCGGACTCTTTAAAGTCCATTAAAGCCACATTGCTTAATACGCGCGATTTACCTATGTCGTATTTAAACTAGCTTTTATCCTTAAAAAGTCGTTACGTTTCGAAAATGAATTATTGTCAATTTATTATCGATTGCCAGGCTTATGCATGTTTGCGATGGCTTAGGGGTTCATTTGCAATTTGGTCCTAATAAATAAATAAATAAATAAATAAATAAATAAATAAAAGTTCACATAATGAATATTCAATACGTTGAGACATTGTTTCATCCATCACTGTCATCTTATTCATAATTTGCTTATAAGCCTCCTTGTCTTTAATCAATTGTTCACGCAAAACCTCTCCAGGGTTTTTTTCACCAAAATTTATATGTGTGTTTCGTGTCTATTGTGAAGTACGGAGTGGAGGCAATGTCCAGCAGTTCACTAGTTTACTGAGTTTTGAGTTGGCCAACTTTTATTTTTTTGATCACATAGAAACTATTGGAGACGACTTATACGCACAAAAATCTTTCCCGTTATATTCCATCCTGGTCTGGCTTGGGATAGCTCTTGAATCGGTTAAGCGAAACGACTTTGAAATGATCACATCAATTCCTGTTTACGATCTGCTCAGTTACTTTAGTTACGTTATACGTACGCAGTTTACTTCAAACCAGCAAATTGTACATTACGTTTTTCTTTTCAAAAACCTGTCTAACCCTAAACTAACTAACTAAACTATTAAGAAAATTGTATTCGCTTATGGTTTTATTACAACGCCAGGGTTATATTAAAATAGAATATACCAATACTTATAGTTGCAGTTTATGAGCAACGAACGAAACACTCGTTTTTTTTTTTTTTTTTGCTTTTGAAAATAGAGGTATTCATACTTTGCGTTGTAAAAACTCCGAAAATTTCATTATACCCGAATTACCAATGTTTCAATATAAATGTAGAAAGAATCCGTTAGTTTTAGAGAAAGAGTCACAGCGCCATAAATTTGATCAGTCAGGAAATCGTCGCACAATACGTTCCACAATGTAGAGCCTAGGACTGATCCTTGAGGTACCCCTCCAGTGATCAGCCTTTCTCTGCACCCTTTGGTATTGTAAAGTAACTAGCCACTGTATGTATGTGTATGCGAAAGTGCGCGTGTGCACGCGTGTGTGTGTTTTTTTCTTTTTCTATGAGTTGGTGGTAGGAATCTTCATAGACACTACCGGCCCATGCCAATAGCACGCACGATTCAGCATCCATGGCGCC